TTTTTTTTCATAAATTGATATTCATCCATATCATATCATTTATTTTAATTTTTTTAATATCTACAATTAATGTATTCCACTAATTGAACGGCCGCTCCAACTTAATGATATTGAATCTTGGGTTAGGACTATTCCCCTTCGTGGATTGCACATTCGAGTTCCACAGAATCCCTTTTTTTTCTTCCTTAATTAACTCTGTAAATAATTATAAATTGTTTAAAAAATATATCCCCCACTAATTTTTATGTACTTTAAAATTAATAATTTTTTAAGCAATTTTAAAAATACATTACTTATATCGATCAAATATATTTAAAGAAATTAATTTATCTAATTCCTAATCTCAAAACTTAAATCATAAAATTAATTTATAAAATGAGTTTATTTTTTTGAACATGTATAAAATGAGTTTATTTAATAATAAATTCAAGTATTAAGGTTATTGACTTTAATTTTACGAGTGCGGTACAAGCACTCCTTAAAAATTGCTTGTTTGTCTTAATACTACATTTTTTTTTTTTCTACATTCGGCAGGTCCTGATATGTTCAAAGTGGTAGGGACAACCTGTCTTATTGTCGTTAGGCATAACATGCCATGTTGTTAGGCATAACATGCCATGTCGTTAGGCATACATACCAATCGTGCCATGTTGCTCACCAAACAAGGGAAAACTTATCCCCAATTTGATTTGAATTTGTCAACTCTTCTATTTTTAATAAAAAATAAAAAATAATTCCTAAATAAAAATTTAAAGATTGTTGATACCTATGTATATACTACAATGTAATCTTTATGAATTACTATTAGTATGGAGTAGGATTATTTCACACATCTAAATAACTTCCCAAGTAACTAATAAGAATAGTCATAAACATTTTAATTTATATATACTATATGTATGATATATAAAAAAAAAGAAGGATATTTTAACATTTAAAATACTAAGACATTTGATAATAATTACATAATAAATTTGATAAAATTAAAACATACATTATATCTTATATATTTAATAATTATGATTAAAGATCATAACATTTTTCCTTTTCCTTTTCCTTTTCCCTATCTAATTTGTCAAAATCTTGGCACTTTACCCTCCAAATTAAAATCAAAATGCAAAATTGTACAAAAAAAAAAAAAGAAAAAGAAAAGAATGAATTTGTTTTTTATTCCATTACTACTTTCTGTATGGATATGTATATCCATGATACGGCTGAAGGTACTTAAGATAGGCAAACGGGTAAAATCACTATTAATTTA